GTCAAATAACTGCTTCCGTGTCTTGACGCAAGGTGTCGAGCCAAGTCTTGAGTTGTCCACCTCTTCGACGCCTCCAGGTGGGCTGCGGCGCCTGATCGAGGGCAGCATGGCAAGGTAAGTGAGGCGGACGCCGGAAAACGTGCCCAAACCACCTCAGTCGTCTTCCTTGGATGACCTAGGTTACCCGCGCGATACTGTTGCAGGGAGGGCGGACTGTTTCATTCGAGACGAAGTCTGTATACTTCACCCGGAGGATGGTCCTAGACAGCGATGATCAAAAACCTCCAGTCTTCGCTCATCTTCCAGGCGCAAAGCCCAGAATTCATAACCACAGAGGAGGACTGACCGGACGGATGCACGGTGCACCCGGATCTTCGGGGCGACGAAGATCTCACGTCGGATCCGTAGGCGCGTTTGGAGGATTGAGGAAATTCAAGATACTCCAAAAGTGCTACCTTCGGCCCCATAGAACTCTGATTGGAACTTGTTTTAACTTATTTCGGTCTGCGTCAGCGCTCAACTGGCTTTTGATCCGGTATTTGCATATTAGAATTTGAAGCTTCTTGGAAGCTGCATTTAGGAGGTATTCATGTTGTTGCCAAGGCAGCAACCTACGCTAATTACCCTTCGTTGCCTGAAATTGAATCCCTTGTTGAAACCTTTCATCGAGGCAGGGTAAGATCATCTGCAAGTGAACGAATCACTGATGCACGGAAAAAAGCAGGCTTAAATTTGCAGCCGAAACAAGGGGTTACATCTTCTGCTCATCTGAAACATATAAGAGTGACTTTTTTTGGACCCGGAAATTACAGGAAGACATATCGCAGGGGGTTAAGTGAGTTAAACCCAGCAACTGCGATCTTCATACCATGGTTACTTAGTACAGGAGAGAAGTCGGTGAAGGCCAGAGTAGATAGAAGAGTATATTTTGTACACAAGGGAAAGGAGAATAGATGAAATAAGTCTGACTTGGGAGGCATGACCGCTCAGGTGATCGAGCGGGCCCCAATTGCGGTTTTAGTAGCAGTCAGGACAGTAGACAGAGAGACAGCGAGTTAATTGGCTAGGTCGGCCTGTGATTGGTTGGACGGCGTGTTCGGCGGTCCACGTCACGCACGCTAGTATATCTGGCGACCGCAACGACCTTGAGCTCCAGACAGATTGAGGTCACGACGAGAAAGCCAGACATCGGAAGGCAACAACCCGCTACAGACATTTCTAAGCTGTCAAATTAATTATAGTATGACAATTCACTGTCAAAAAAATAATTTTCGTACTTTTGTCACTGGCATTGTTGTGCTGCCACTTTACCCGTCCTGATCATCACCTACTATCGAGAACGAAATTTTCAGTTGTTTGCTTACTCTGCCTGAGCTTTAATACTGGTTCAACACAGATTAACGTACATTAGATTCAATATCTCGTGCAACGGCAGCCGGAATTCTCAAATGAGTTTTCGATTGGAACATATTAATTGCGTATGGTTGTAATAGAGATAATTGTACAGCCTAATCTCAACATATTTTGGATACCTCAGGATGCCGGCTTTTTAACAAGCTTCTTTCTGACCGTTAAGACAAACCATGCACTATAAAAAGTGACTACTTAAGTAGTATGCCTTTTTGTCATTAATTTCGACTGCCTATATAGATTAAAATATATTTTTTTTGGAAAACATGCATGAAAAATTTATTTATTGTACCTGTTCGGTAGCAAATTACGCCTTCTTTAAATGTTATACTTAAAGAAATGGTATCTTTCGGTTTTAAAAAGTTTCTAAATTGCAGAATAATTTTGAAATTTAGTGACCGCTACACTGGAATTCAAGGTGTACAAACTGCGCACTGCGTACATCCTGTTTAAGGAAAAGTATAAATTCGCCTACAGCTTGAGGAAGATCTCACATAGTTCTCATAAAATGTTGCAATAGATGTGGAGCATGCTTTATACAGTAAAGGCAGCTTTACAAATGATGGATACGGTTTTCTCTGACTGAACACCTGAAATTTGTAAAAAAAACTCATAATTAGAAATTTTTGTGAAACCGAAAGAGACTCTTCCTTTAAGTATAAAATTTAAGGAAGGCGTAATTTGCTACCAAAAGAGTACAAGAAATAATTTTTTCGCGCATGTTTTCCCAAAAAATATATTAAATCTATAAAGGCAGTCGAAATTTATGACAAAAAGGCATATTACTTAAGTAGTTACTTTTTATAGTGCATGGCTCGTCTTGGCGGTCAGAAAGAAGCTCGTTAAAAAGCCGGCATCCTGTGGTATCCAAAACATTTTGAGATCAGGATGTACAATTGTCTCTATTACAACCATCCGCATGTCATATGTTCCAATCGAAAACTCATTTCAGAATTCTGGCTGCTTTTGCATGAGATAGTGAATCTACTGTACCAAATTTTAGACGGCGAAGCTGGGATCACTGGAACAGGAAGGTTATTGGCTTCGCGTTTCGGATTCTGGCTTAAACCCATCATAAGAAACAATACCAGAGAAGGGGTCAACGACATAAGGGAATAAAATAATTAGATTATTTTGTATAGCTGAGCACTGAACTGAGGTTTCAATTAAGTAGCGAAGCTCAACATAGAAATCCGTTTAGTCTTCTCCTACGACGTGCCCTGAATTTCACCAACTTTCACTGATTCCTGTTCCTACATTCTTTGCTGGATCCGCTGCTTCACTAGAGTGTGTCAGCTATCTGTTCATGTGTATCTGTTAGGAGTCTAGTCTAACCGAATGCCAGCCTTCCTGAGGCGTAGTGCCTGTGACCGACTGCCACAATGCTTCCTTAGTCAATGCGGACTGCCTTCAAGGTCATGTGCCTTTGCAGTGACAGTTCCCACGCGATGACCTTAAACCTGAACCGAGCAGACTCGCACGCGAGCCCACGCGCGTGCCCAACTGGTCGCAGTTCTTCAAGGGCCACTTAGGTTCGCCACGGCAGGTGACATTATTGCGACTTACCCAATCATGCCACAAGCGAGCGCGCTTGACAATCACTTATAAGC